TTCCTCCGTATGAAAATAGGTTGCTTCTGCTGTCCCTACCGTCTCTTGAGAAACGTAGATTTGTTCTTGGCGTTTCCTTTCTAATTAAAGTAATAAATGGTGCTATTGACTCGCCTTCATTACTTGGTGAAATAAGCTTTTATGTCCCTAACCGCTTCTCCAGGCACTTTATCTTGGTTAAGCTTAGTCAGTGTAGGTTTAATTATGAGCTGTTCAATCCGCTCAGACTCGTTTGCAAGAACCTAAATGACGTCTACCACTTATTCTCGTTATCGGACTCTTTAAAGTCCATTAAAGCAACATTGCTTAATACGCGCGATTTACCTATGTCGTATTTAAATTAGCTTTTATCCTAAAAAATCGTTACGTTTCGAAAATTAATCATTGACAATTTATTATCGGTTGCCCGGCTTATGCATGTTTGCGATGGTTTAGGGGTTCATTTGCAATTTGGTCCTGTACCGGTTGTAAGTGTGTCCCTACGCTGATAGTGTACATGCTTTTTTTTTCTTTTTCTTTTTTTTTCTTCTTATTTGTTTTATTGTACTTATACTAAATTTTGTTATTAATTAATATAAGTTTTGCATTAAGAGCCAATTGAACTCGACTGTTATTTGTTTAGTTGAGTTTCTAGTATAAGTGGAATAAATAAATAAATAAATAAATAATATCTAAGGGCTTTTGTTGCATGTATCAATAAGAAATCGAATAATTTCGAATATTTAAGATTCCATGGACTGTATTTGTTTCACAAATTATTTTTATTATAAATATCAAATAATATCAAAATATAAAAAGCAATGTATTACAGTTCGTTTTTTCAATAATAACATTGCGGCGGTAAAGGCATGTACATGCTCCACATTAGATCCTTCAATGTCGCTGCCTTTCAGATATTTATTTCGTATATCGAAAACCTGCGATTTCAGTACTTGAAAGCGTCTCATATGTCTACCATACGTTTAAGTTTCTGCATTATTTTAATAAACATTAGTTATAAATAATTCAGTAAGTATGGAAAATTAAGTAGCTGTTAAAAGACTAAAACTTGCAATCCATTTGACATCTTGCATCAACAAGTTGCAGCTGTGTCTGAAACACCCAAGTATGCTCCTAACACCTGATGATTGGTTAGAGCTCGGCGATTTCTGCAAAATTATCCGCATTTCGGGCATTGGTATGGTCCACAAATAGGTATTAAAGTTGCATGACCTATCTGCGGTACGCGCACGAATTAGGTTTGAAACGGGCAGTTGACCGAATGACCGCACAGTTATCAGCGGGGACAAGAGGGCGAAAACAGAATTTAAAAGTGATAACGAACATTATATCGTATTTAACGAAACGCACAGAAAGCAAAACAGATTTTTAGAACAGTTAAAGAAACAATAAACAAAGGGATGTACAGATGGTCGAACAAAGGGGAGTACGAATGGACGAACAAAGGGAAGTAAGGCCATCTTGCATTAAAAGCCCCGGTAGTATAATTTAAACAGACAGACCAGTTGGGTGTTCGATGAGGGAAGCAGCGCGGAGGGAGAAGAATCAATGGCTTGAACCCGTTGCAAACGAAGATGAAGGCCAGGAAGCTGAAGTAGTTGAAGATTTACTAGGCATTGACGCGCTGAGAGAAGTCGTAGGGAGGTTAAGTCCTCAAAACGAGGGTGTATAGGTACACTTCGACGAAGAGTACACAAATGAAAAAGCAAGATATTCTCGGGCCGAGGGTATTCCATATTGTTGCGGCTACTTTAACTTGAAAAGCCGTAGCCTCTTAAAGGCTTTCAACATGCTAATCAGCGCCTTTCCCATTGCCATTGCCATGCAATGTAATAAACTTTTCTCTCTCTCACTCACTCGCTCTCTCTATCTTTGCCTATCTATCTATCTGTCTCTATCTCTTTCTCTCGTTTCTCTATTAGGAATTTTCTAGATTAGGTCTTTTTATTGCACAGTCATGCTCAGCATTGGAAAGTCGACTGCGGCTATGAAGAAATCGAAAATGAGTAATTTGTGAAATTAAGTTTCCGAATTTTAAATTTTTAAAATATGATGTTCTCTCAGGAATTGATGGAGCAAGATGGGCAAGACGATAAATACGTAATGCAAGTGATGGCTAGCGTAAACGAGCAGTTGGAGCAGTTCTCTAATCCCATCCACGACATCAATTCTTATCAGATTAATTCCCATAAATTCAACCAAATGCTATTTGTTTGTTGCGTTTCACAGCAATCCAGTTCGTCGAATAATAGCATAAGAACCTTGGCTGTATCATTTTCTTTACATCAAGAGGCTTTTAAGGCGCCCAAATCTAATTCTTCAGTCTTATATCTCTGCTTCAAAGTGTGGCTAGATATAAAAAATTTCGCACCAGCCGCGCTATCAACGCACGACAGCTTGTGATAATTGTGATATTAGAGGTTTGAATTGTCGTTTATTCCATGTCACCAATTCATTTGAGATGGTAATTTCCAGCTGTACGCTATACAAAATAATGGAAATAAGTTACTTTTTTTCCCTGTTTGTAAAGATATTTAGCAAAATATTGAACAACATTATACGCGACCAGAAAATGTCTTGTTTTTTCGAAAATATATTTGTTTACTAATGTCTTGTTTACCTTGGAGCGATAAACTCTAAAGATCAACTCGTTGACGCGGAATGCGCAATCACAGTAGCGTGCGGACTTTCATAGGTTCGACTTTCATTACGGTTATGTTGTTTTCCATTTTGAAAGAGGGTTGTATGCGAAATGAAACATGCAAAACAAGTAGCCTTTGTAAATAGATCTTAACCCTTTAACGACGCTAAGGAAAATATTTTATCCCCATTTTAAAATTTGATCATTGTCGTATTTTAGTACAAGCTGATGTGCATTTTTTATATAAAACGTCAGAAGAGAGCTTGCATCGAATGCACTTAGCCTTGCGGTGCATTGTCTTTTCCTCAACCGCCAGATGCATGATGCTGCCTTGCCTTTTAACACTACCATCAAGATCATTTTGGGTGGCGGAACACTTCTCCGAGTTAGCTAGCGATAATTATTTAATATTGGATGTAGTGGAAACTTCTGTGGCTGCGGTTACAATTTCAGTTTTCTTAGATTTTGTTTTTTTGTTTGCTTATTTTTAATTGCTTCCTTGGGCTTGCAATTGACGAGATTGCTCCTCGGCTTCAGCAACTTTCATATTCAAATATTTTATTTGATTTTGTAAATTAGCCAAAGTCATCTTTAGTTCAGCACAATTGCGAGACGTCACCTCCATTTTATCTTTATCGGCCGCATTATTAATCGGTGTAAACTTCAGAGGCTCACTTATACACTACAATCACTTTATACAAATGATTCCGTTCGTTTTGCAAAGCTCTTCGTAATTTTTGCAACTGTTCTACTTGCTTATTACAACGCAAGGCATGGTCGTCACGTTCTTTCTTCTCCGTGGCCGATGCGATAAGTGTAGCATTACTTTTCTCCCATTTACGTTTCCATTCTAAAGATTCCTTTTCTATTTTACGAGTGTTTTTGCTCATCTTTAACGAACAAATAAAAAGAAAAAAAAAGGAATTTTTTAAGTATTTAATATCATTATTTTGATAAAATTGTAATTTTCCATTAATACCTTTTCCAATTTCAATTTATAAGTGGCAAATATGTCATTTGATTTTTGTAAAGTAATTTGAAAATCATCATATTTGTTCCAGTCGTTCCTTTAATGCTTGCTCACGTTCAGTTAACTCTTGAAGCATTTTCTGCGTTTGCATTAATTTCTCAAAAGCCTAGTAGTTGAACTCGAAATGAGAAACAGAAATGAAATAATTTAAAATTGTATTGAAAATAATGCCGGGTAGTTGAATTCGAAATGAGGAATTGAAATGAAAGAGAGAAATGATTTAATAATGTATAATGCGGATTTTTTGTTATATCAAAAATTTTGTTTTTATACGCGTTAAAAATTATGTTCATGAAATATAAAACCAAACCTTCTTCTAAAACATAAGTTATGCAAAAAAAAAAAAAATCTGTTTGTGTACTTTTTAGTTAATATGCGTAAAAATGTGCATTTTATGATATGGTTGGGGATCTCTGCCGCAGACTTGGTCTAGTGGATGGTGGCGCATGCTATAATGTTTTGGACGTCTGGAACGTTGAGATACATAACCCCTAACTGGTTTGAGACGCCCCACTGCCCTCGTGAAGATAAACCTTCGTAACGTTGCAAATGGTAGAGAAGCCATCCAGCCGCAGCATTTTGAGGCTATTGACTACTTCATTTATCATATCCTGAATCACTTGTGGTACAAGGGTATATTAACTTTGTACGGATGAATACACCATCTTGAAGAACTTGAGATAGGACCAGCACATTATGTGTTCCATTTTTCTTTTTTTTGCAAAACGTTAGCTGGGATAGTCGGGCGAAATAAAAGTTAACCCCAGCTGTGCACATAAAAAAAGATATGTTATATGCATTTCTAAGTTTCCTAATAACAATAGATTCATAAATATTGTTATGTTATGCACCAATATTTCGTAATTTTCAAGATAATGGACTTGTTTTGAGGATTAAAGATTGCTTCGAATAAGATTCTTGATAAAATGTTTGCAGAGAACTGTGGAATTTATATAACTAACACAATATTATTATCTTGGAAAATAATGACACTTTAATGTTTGTGTAAGTATGGAAGTTTGCAATTAAGTCGAGTTCTTCATCTTCGAGGGTTGCTATTTTCTTTCCTAGAGACTCTTAAAATTTGTTTATGTAATTGCTAACTAATATTTGGGTAGCCTTAAAAATTTTAATAATTGTTGGATTATTTATCTTGTCCGTTAAGTTGTGCTCATTTGTATATAGATTGTCGAGGGCATATTTTGGATTCTGTTATCACTATCCCATAGAAAGAGTCCGCTAAATCGAAAAAGTAAACTTCCAGTTATTTCAATTACTTCCGGATTTCTATCTAACCACGAACACCGCGAATTTCGCAAAACTTAATTCAACTTTTCAGCTTTTCTGCGAATGGTCTTAAAGGGCGTTGCATCATAAAATGCTGAAGTAAAAGATATTCTGTTTCTTTAATTTATTTTCATAGTATGGGAATCTCGACGCTCACCTTATGCCATCGAAATCTCCTCAATTCTATTTTTCCACAACTTGGCGACCCTGACCCAATCCGTTCAGGATGTACTTTTTTCTCCAATTAGTGAAAATTGCTTCACTTAAAGGGCATTTATTCGTTCCATCAACACATCCGTTCCCTATGAATTCCGTATGTAATTCGTCTTATGATATCATCTTTTGTCTGACTGCTAGTGACGGAGTGCGATCTATGGCTGCATGCACGTAGAAAACGTTATATATATATTTAAAAAAACGAATTGTGTCAACAATGTTCAAATAATTTACAGGCATATCCGAGTCAGCGGAATCGCATAGGAAATCTCCAGTATATTTGCACTAAAAATGAGCTGTCAAAACCATACGTAGTTATAGAGCTTCAACAATCATATGATCATAATAAAGTTTCTGGAGCTAATCATAGCGATCCTAAGCTCGGTGGCAATTCATGGTCGTGCTCTTTTATTCTATTAATATTTTCCAGATTACCTATTCTTAACTTAATTAAGAAACAGAGGTAAATTTAAGCTATGATTATCAAGTATTCATTCAAAGATAATTGAGACTTTTTTACTTATTTATGTATTTGAAATAAATGTATTAAGTAAGATTTTAAAAGCTTCACTTAGTACTTAGCTATGCATTTTAAAATCGAATCGGTACAATGAACGTAAACCAAACTCCAATTTGACTAAAGTTAAAGATGTTGATTTCTTTAACATAATCAACGGCCAGCTGTTTAACTCCCTGAACATTCGACTCTGTTCTTTAATTTATAGAGAGAAAGGGTGCCAGTTGAATTCCAAAGGAAAAAACTCGAAAAATGTGAAGAGAGAAAGCGTGCCAGTTTAGTTCGAAACGATACCACTCGTAAAATGTAAAGAGAAAAAGTGTGCCAGTTGTATTCGAAAGGATGTAAACAGAGAGAGCGTGTCAGTTGAATTCGAAAGAGAAATTATAGTTAGTTACGTAGAATTAGCTTTAAACCGAGCTCCAAGTTGGGATAAAGTAAGTTAGGGAGTCGGTCGCGAGGGTCGCGAGAGATCAGACGTCTCGTTAGGCTTGAAACTAGAAATACTAGACTGATTAATATTATTAAGGGTAGTGCAAAGGGCTCTTAGCGTGTTCGATATTCGTTCTCATTTGTTATGCATGTATTGTGCCGATTTATAAAAT